TCAGAACATCCTCGTTTCTTTTGTTTTTACCACCAAGGTGACATCGTTGTCGGTTTTAATTTTAAAGTCTTTGTAATTTGTACTATAATTTTATTCACTTGTGAAATAAAAATAAAAATAAAAATAAAAAAAGTTATTACAAAAGTTATTCTAAATTTATTTAAATATCGGCGCTTCTTTTTAACGGTTGCTTTGGGTGTTTCGGAATTTCAGAGTTTTTTTAACACCGAAATAAAGACAAAGACAAAATAAAGTTTATAAAAGTTTATGTATACGTTTAAATAATAATAAGCGGTCTACTATTAAAAACGAATACATTAAATTATACTACAAATAGAGAATATACAAAGAAGATTTAATTACGTAAATATTTATTTGTATATATTTGCCTATCGTTTAAGGGATAAATTATCAATAAAAAAATTTAAAATTCTTTGTAAGATAAAAAAAAAATTTATATAAAATAAAAAATTCTTTGTAAGATAAAAAAAAATTTTTTTTTATTGGAAAAGTGAGAATTAGAAAAATTATTTCTAACTGTGGAAAATGCCTATTAAACTAAATTGTGATCGACTGAAGATAAAAAAAAAATTTTTTCCTGTAGGAAAAAGCGAACATTTGGACATGAAATGTTCAAATGTAATAACTTCTTCATTTGGATTGAACTAATGAAAATCAATTATAAAAAAAAATTCTAATGTGACAAATAGTCTATCCATAGTTTATCTTTTAAGATTATTTATTTTCCATTTTTAGCTTGTAATAGGAATAGTTAGGAATAATCGGGATAATTCGGCAAAATTCTATCACGTGACTACGATTTAGGTCAAATGTTACACAGACTGATCAGCGATCGCCAGAACTGTGTTACCAGTGATCTAATTTTAATGAAAAAACTTCGCCTATATAGAGCTAGCATATACAACCTTGACTTTTGGGATCGGTTGCTTTTCTATGCGTACGTGTTGAAAGTAAAAAAAAGTGAAATTTTAATATGAAAATTCGTTTGTGTAACCATGAGAGCGACGGTCAATGATTAGCTTGTGTAACAATTGAGGCTCTTTTATTTATCTATGTGATGTTCATTTTGTAACACGAACTTATGCGAAATTGTAATGAATCGATCACATGACCAGGGGCCCGTAGATATGGCTAAAAATTTCGATTTATTTTGATTTTAGGAATGTATCGGATACAAATTTTCGCATACAATAATAGCATTTAACCGAATTTAATTATTCGTAACTTATATTTTGAGAAAAAAAAAATGATATTTTTGTAACAAAAGAAATTTACAAACGAATGTACAGAAAAACCATAGATAGTTTACTGTATATCAAAAGGAAAAAAAAAATAAAAATTTAATATCCCAATTTCATATACTACTTTTCTTTCTTATCAGGACATATTTGTTCCCTTTTTAATTAATTTTTTATTAAATAAATAACTATTTATTTCTCTTTGGAAATTTTTTTTTATAAAAATATTTGTAATGTCGATATTTCATGCATTATGATAGTTATGGAAAAATTACGGTATCTCATCATGAATAACATCAGATAAAAATATAGGCCAAATTTGCTTATAATATGATTTACACAGTATATATAAATTATGAATTCATATCTGCTAAAAAAAACATATCAATAGCAATAAATAAGCATATAGATGTTGTGTCAGATGTTAACTGTGATTTTTTTAAAAAAAACAATTTGAATCTGATTATACTGAAATTTTAGAATTATATATCAGTTTACAAATACTCACTCCTGGGGTTTAAATGATTATGAATCTGCTTAGAATCTCCAGTACTTTTAAAATGTTGTTCGAAGACGGACCAATCAATATCTTCCCCATCAACGCTATATTCATTTACGAGACAGATTATATGACGAATAAATATAAATAGCCAATAAAGTATTTATTCCAAATTTTTAGGATATATAGTAGATATGCAATTTGTCTTCACTTATAAAATAAAAATGATTTAATTAATAAAAAAAATAGTTTGCTTATAGCAAACCATTCAAAATTGACATCTTATGCGCGTAAACTGACAAATCGTCATCTGATCTGTAGATGCATTTCTACTCCAGATTGAAATTCTATAATCTCATGTCACTGGGGTGTATTATAAATATAGTTTAACAACAAGTCGAATAATAAAATTTAATATTCATGCATAAAATATAAATATTGAAACCAGAATTATTTCCGAAAACTAGGATTAATAATTCATGTAAATTATATATACCAGTAAAACTACATTTAAGTAATATTGTAAACTTTAATGAATATATGATGACTTTAAGAAACATGAAATAACTCGTTTATCACCCGGAACTTTCTAAAGAAAAATTTTTTTATCGGAATGAAAGGTTTGATTCATTATTATTGAAGTGTTAATGGCTTTTTGTAAAAAAAAAAGCGAGATATTTTATGGATAAGACAGATATTTGGAATATTTTCATGAAATTTGAAACGAAAATGTTGAGAAGGGCCCAGAGGTATTAAGGATTAAAAATAATAAGAAATTTATTATTAATTTAAATACAGAATAGTTTAATACGAAAAAAATCCAAGTAAATTTTACTATGACTTGATAATTTTATTATAAAGATGTGATATACTGTATATTAAATTTCAAATAATTTGTATATAGTACTGCGCCATCTGTTTATTAGCTAATCAGGTGACTTGTCGATCAATTAAAATCACGACTGAAAAAATCTCATTCTACTAATAAAGTAGCAAAGATCTGAATAAAAAAAATAGTTAGGAACGAAAAAAAAGGAGAAAAACTAATAAAACTAATAGAATAAGTAAAAATCAAAAATAGTTGCATAATTACGGCTATATAAAAAATATAGAGTTGCAGTTGTGAATTGCAGAGTCATTATGAACCCAAGAATCTCTAGGAATCGGTCTTAGAAATCGGAATAGGAATCGGTTTATAAGCTTCAGAATGATAAACAAACTTAATAAGGTTGCACAATAGTGTCTTGCCATTACGCACATCAAATAATACTATCTATAGTTTTATAGTAGAACGTGGCTTTATTTTTGTAATCTTAAAAACTGTATTTTTATTTACTAAGAAAACGGTAACCGTTACGAAGTCATGTCGGAAATGATAATGATACAATAACACGAAAGGTCAAACAAAGAAAAAAACGCAAGCTGACATATTAAATTTACTCTACATTTTTTGTAAATTTGTACAAAAATGATTTGTTTTGTTTCGTATTTGTTATAAATTTTTACAATAATAATAAAAAATCCTATCTATTTGGGTGTTTTAATTTGGGTGCGTTAATAAACTGTTCATCATCAAAAGTTTTTAAAATATAAAAAATGGAACAAAAAATAGATCAAGATTTTGTCATAGCATATTGGAAGAATCGATTATATATCGACTAATTGCTAGTCACGCTAGTTCGAAACTGCGACAATTATCATAAAGTTTTTAATAACTTCTCTTTATTGCTACGTTTCTCGCGTCTCAAAAAAAGGTGTCAATGTTAAGAATGGGAAATTAAGCTATTCTCAAGGTAAAAGTTGTCAATAATTCAAATTTGCTAAAGTGGATCTAACTTCTTCTTTTTTGCTTCTTCAAATGATACTTTTACATATAAACTTGCAATTGCTTTTTGTTATTTAAGAAAAGTTGCGCTAAAGTAATGTATAATTGTATGGAATTTGTAGAAAAAGAAGAAAGAGAAAAGTGACGAATTATTCCTACTAGAAGCACCTGTAAAAAAAGTCGATCCCATCTTTTTTCGTAAAAGGCTCATATTTCCGGAATTATATCACGGAATTTATCGAATTATTTACATTTTCCGTGAATGGATCCGTGAAAGTACGATAAAATTTTTTACAGGGAGCTAGAAAATTAAATACACTTCATTTTCATTCTCATCGACATCGTAGACATTAAATTCAATATTTTTTATTTTTATATTTTTTTTTATGATATATTTTGTTGGGTTTAAATTTTATACGCAGGTGCGTAGCAACGAGCAGGCAAAAATACGCATAGGACGTTTGCTTTAAAGATTCTATAAGCGTTTAAACGAAATGTATGATATCACGTGATCATAAATGATCAGCAAATTTACTATCATATAATAATTTCCAAAAAACTTATTGTAAAATATATTGTCAAGAACGATACATTTGCGTCTAATTGATTCATACCTTTTTTGGCTGCTTTTCCTAGCAAATAATTATTTAATACTTTAACGTCGATACTGAAATTTAATATGCAACTTCCCATGACTCGATTCGGGGGTCTAAAGCCGTGTTCGATCATGTGACTTGACATTTTATAAATAAGCCATTTTTTTATGAACTAAGATTAATGTAAGTATGAAGGTTATAAAATAAGTGTATTTTGGCCTGCTTTACAAGTTTACTTAGTGAAAAAAAGCTGGTTTTAAACACTGTTTTTGACTTTACATATGAACGAATAATCTTTACCAATCATATCCAAAAATAGATGACGAAAATGAAAAAATTCAAATAAGTCAAAAACGGTGTTCAAAACCCCATATTGCGCACTAAGTAAACTTGCACAGCAGGCTAAAATACACATACTATATGTAACTTGAAAGTTTTATGTATTGGCGAAAAAGTTTTATTTGTAAAAATAAATTTTTACAAGTCACGTGATCGAACACGCCCTCGATTCGGCATTTAATTTTGCCGAGTTCATCATTGTAAATAATTTGTTCTACAGAATAAGGAGTGCATGAAAGACAAAATGCAGTGTCAGTAAATGTGACTTGTTTATTTGGTAGTACTTACTCAAAATAAGCAATATTTATGATGCAGCAAAGACGCCCACATACGGAATACCGGAGTTTAATTTCTCTGAGTCTACTCTGAGTCATAATTTACGTAATTTATGTATACGTACTTGTAACAATTCTAAGTATTGGTCAAAACATGAATTATTAGAAAACTAGTTTTAGTAGTGATTTTGGACATTGATTTTATAATTGTAATAGTAAAGAATTTTTTATTATTTCATTTGTTATTAAATAATACATTTATGAAAGAACATGTAGACTTTAGTAATATACAACTCTAAGTTAACACAGTTAAAAAAAAATTTCTTTTAATACTATATAGAGAAAAAAAGGTTATATTGTTGAAATCAAATAGTACCATCGTAAATATCAACCGTTGGACCTGCTTGTGACACATCGCTTTCATGTTGAGTATTTTCATTTGAATCCGACCTCATTTCTCTTTCAGGAATGTAGAGATAAGAAGGAAGAACTTGTTTTAAATTTAGTTCGAGATTCAATTTCTGACTCGTGGTTAACGCATAGTTGCGTCTCAAGTCATTTACATCAAAATCTCTTCCATAAATTTCCTTATTTAAAATATTAATAATCAAAGTATGTGATAATGATTTGCATGTAACATGATATTTTTGCTTGTAAAAGAACTCGTAATCATAATCATAGATATAATCTTGTAAAAGTATTTTACAAGTTATATGATAAAACCTATTGTCGTTTGGTGCTTGATAAAATAATTTAATTCCATCGTTCAATTGCGAGTCTTTTTGTTTAGTTTGAACTTCTGAAGAATTCATGTTCACCATGTTTGGATTACTGATTAAGCGTTAAATAAATATCATAATATTAATTTAAAATTTTTATTTTTTGCTTTTTTGCAAACATTTTATAATAAAGACACAAACCTATTTAAAATTTGGTCTTGTAGAAAAGGAAGATCTTGTCTCAGGTGTAGTTCGAGTTTTAATTTTTGATCCCAAGTTAACGTATTTTTGCGTTTCAAGTCATTTGCATCAAACTCTCTTCCATAAATTTCCTTATTTAACATATTTACGATCAAAGTATGTAATAATAATTTACATGCAAAATGATATCCCTGGTAATAGAAACCGTAATCGTAATTATTTTCCCAGAGGTAATTTTGTATAGTTATATGATAAAAATTATCATCATTTGGTGGTTGGTAAAAAAATGAAGATTGTGTCGATTGGTATCCTTGTATTGGTTGAATATCCATTGTAATAAAATTATTCTTGAGGCGTAAAATTGTATTCAATATTTAATATGAATGTGTTTGTTTATAAATATAATATATACTGTATATACAAACATATAATATATAACTTCAGTTGTTTGATGTAAAGTGGAAAGTGAAAGGGGAAGGACAGGGGGAGGGGAAAGAAGGAAAAGGGAAGGAAAGTAACAAACGATAAATATTTAACTGGAATGTATGGCTCACTTCAAGTAGAAAATTATTACTTATTAATACCAATATTTTTTTTTTTTTTCTTTTTTTTTAACAAAGGTATTTGGCCGCGTCTTATATAGTAGATATTGTGATAAAAATTTTTTGAGCCCCAATCATTAAAAATAGATAATAGAATGAAGAGTTATCGGCTTTTTAAAAAGGACTATTTTCGTCCACTATATAATAATTTCATGGAACAAATTAATTAAACTTTTAAATAATTTTAAACTTGAGCGATAAATCATATCTATCAAATAAAAAAATCATTTAGTAATTATGTACTAACTCCATTATTCAGTATTAAATAGAATTAATTTTATTCTCTAAAAAAAAGAACATTGGGAAAATGTCCATGCATTTCCCAATAATTCATAATTAAAACGTCTGTCACCTTCCGTTTAATGTTTTAGCAAACCTCTGTTTCTCCGAACTTTAGGTTACACTAATATTCATTAATTGTTCAATTTTTAAACAAAAAAAATTATGGCATCGAACTTAAACAACCACAACAAGACTATTTGACTTTTCAAAATTTCAAAGAGATAATTTGGAATTTCATTTGAAGGGATTTTTCCTTAATCGCTTGACGCAAAAACAAATTAATAAGAGTAATATTATTTGGCCAGCACTTACGATTTGGCCGGAGTTATAAAATTTTTTCGAATTTTGCGCCGACTTAATTCTGGTCGAAATTACTAGGTTTTGGCCTAGCACAAATTGTAACCTGTCCTGTATGTGTTGATTGGCGTGCACATGCGCAGTAAGGCTAGGTGTAGTTTCCTGACAAGCGTATTACAGGCTTTGCTCGCGAAAAATGCAATAATTTCTAGATATGGCACATTTTGTGGTCTATTAATCCATTAATCCAAAGAATAACAGTATCGGTACATCGAAGTTTTTGATTGCAGTGTTAGAAGTTCAAAAAATTTTTATCGGTGAAGTTTTTACATAAAAGGTATTTGCACATACTCTTAAAAAGATATGCGCAAAAAAGATTGTTATACTTAAAAGGATTGAAAAATTTTCCTTTATAACGACGAAAAAGAAGCATGACCGTATGTGGAAATATTCTGTTGTTCTAACAAACACAAGCAGATCCTTTATACTTTGCTGTCTTCAGAGCACGGCATCGCTCGTGATCGGCGATACTATCAACCGTTCAAATGGACAACTATTCTAAATTTCAACTTAACAGAAACTTATCCACTGTTATTACATAGTATTATTCCTGAACCTGAAGAACTAGTGTCTATTGTCTATTGTTACCGCGCATGTGAATACACGAAAGAAGATCAACCGATTATTACTTCTTTTTTTATATAATTTATATCTTGACATATATGCAACTATTTAATTAAAAATTCAAAATTTGGAAACAGACCAACAATATTAATAGAGGATCCTTTAGTACTTTTAAACGAATCCAAGAAGATAATTTAAGACAACTACAACAGAATGCAACTTGCGATCATCATATGATCACGAAATTCGAATCCATTCAATGACAATAGGAACATAATAGATCAAGATACTTTATTTATACGATGGACTAGCTCAAATTTTTACATCATGGGCTTTGGTTTCACATTTTGATTTCAGGTTAACCTCATTATTTCTTCTTCACATTTTATCTTAGATATTTAATTTTCACTCTTTCAACATCACTATCTCACTATCTGTTTATCTGAGGACCTCATCGTTTCTCTCTGGATAGTTTTACAAATTCCCTCCTCTACCCTATTTTTAATTTCCTTATCTATGTCGACAGGTAGGTCCGTTTGTATGGCGTTTGTTCTTCGATGTTTTGTAATTACGACTACTTTTCTAAAGTAAAATAAATAAAAGTAAATTATAAAGCACGTAAAAAATTGTATGTCTGATATTACTAAATGTTAAATGTCATTATATTACCCTTATTTACAATGAAAATTAAATTCACTCTTGAAAATTTACTACATTTTCCACCGTCCTGCTTTTTAAATTGATTCAATTATCGTATGCTTTTTCAAAGTCAAAGTCTTCTATATGAAAAAATTTGCATATAGGGCAGTATAAATTTATGTACTCTGCGACTACTGCGCCGGTACAATTTGCGTCACTGAATTGGCTACATGGTTTGACGCTGCCTGCGGAGATATCCTACCGTATATTCAATATTGGTATAATAATGGATGGTACAGTAGATATAACGATATTATAGTGTTCACAATTTCATGAGGCCAGACTCACTGATATCATATCGATTCTTGATTGTAAATTGTATCACTATTATAGTCCAAGATCAAGGAAATCAAAAGTACTAAGATGCTAAGCATTATTGATGAGAAGAACATAAAATAAAAAATAGTCTTAAATGAATTACAACTTTTTTCCAGGTGCATAAAATTTATTATGTTTTAGAGTTTATACTAGCTTTTTTTCCAAATAGCAAAATTCTAGTTATAGCAAAATTATGGTAAAATAAATAAATTAGATTTCATTATATCAACAATAAATAACCTGGAATGAACCTTCGTCTATTTTTTTTTTTCAAACAAAATAATCTCTACCAAACTATTATTAAAGTTTTTGAACGAAGATTTTTTATGATCAAAGTAAAAGTAATCAAATAATCTTAATTGTAGAGAACCAGGTACTATATCTCAGTAATAGCGTATTAACAAAGGAAAGCCAAGTATGCTTAACGTTTTCGTTATTTCCATTACTTTTCTTCATATGATAGCGTTATTAGCTGCTTTGATTGAACATTTTACTTTATTTTATAGTATTGACTATATAACAATACCATAAGTCCGTAATATAGAAACGAAAAAAAGTTTTATCATGGCTTGCTTCTCCCTAGATGCATGGTTTCCAAGTACCTAGTTATTGTATTATCTATTTATTCTTTTATTTCTTTTTTTTTTGCTACTGTGAACAAGTTACATAATAGCCCTGTTCATTTCCGATCGGTAGAGTTTCGATCCGTAGCGGTTTTATCCGGTTTTTATCCGGATACCGGCTCGGTTAATTTAGGCTGGGACCACCAAAATTAATAAAAATTTATGGAATAATATTATTTTAATTCTGGCCGAAATTATAGTCCACTCAAAGCCGAAATTTGTAACCTTTTTTAATCATAATCCCACGTTAAAATATTTGAGGTTTTATCCGGATCGAAACACTACCGGTCGGTGCATTTTTCGGTCGGATTTTGTTGTACAAAAATTATCCAATAAAATTTTTTATTTTCGATCGCAAATTGAACTGCTTTAGATTGAAATTTAGTACAAACTCCTTATATTGATATATATTTTTTTCTTAAATGTCACGTAAACAGAAATTATCTAATTTTGGTTATTTTTTGGCGTTCAACCAAAAAAAACCCAAAAAAATTGGGCTAAAAGCGTTGCGTTGTACAAACTGATCAGCCCAATCAAAATTCTTAATCTGACCGAAAAATGCGACCGACCGGAAATGAACAGGGCTATTGTCCTAAGGTGGTCTCATGTCTTATTATAGGTAGTCTTTGTTGAGTTTATTCCGCAAGGGAATGAGCCGTTTTAATAAAGACGCGTGCGTATATAGGTGCCGTCGGAATTGCCGAATTGGAATTACGGTATCACAAAATATGGATTTTACAATTAAATGTTTAACAAATCATCGAGACCAGCATTATAAATTTACGGATTACAAATCATCTACGGCATAACCAGAAAAATATTTACTTACTTTGTGCAATTTTTGTATTTTTGACATTAAATAATTACGGCACTATGGTAATTTAATATATTACGGTATAAGCTTCATGTGCCATAATTAATTCCGACGGCAAGTATACGTGCGTTGCCAAAAAAAGAGTAATGTATTCAGGTAAATAATACCTTGAAATTTAGAGATAATGAACTATCACTGCTACTAGTTAACGTTAATGTTGGTAGACTTGTGACTTTATCGATAAATTAGAAATTCACAATAAAATACTTCAATTATTTTTTGTCCCTTCAGATTATGGTTCCATGATAAACAGAGGCCTCCCTTACCTCCGAATTATCCATCTATTTTTTTTGGCGAAATTTTTTATTTACGTATTGGAGTTCGAAATTATAATAAGCTTGAATTCATTAAATTCATCTATACAAATAAAATATAATTCGGAAACTGTTTTCTCTGAAAAGTGGTTTATTTTGTTTATATCAAGCGTGAAAACAAAACTAATTAAGTAAATGTTCCACAGTTCCAGTTTAGGGCGATTTGGATAATTCTAATATATACATAAAAGATTGCATCATTAGTGCACGTATAATCTTATTTATAATTTACGTTAAAATTTTAATTGATTTTTCTTTTACGCGACCGCAGCATCTTCCGTTGGTTTTCTTGATTCCGATCGTCGATCTCACGTGGATTAAACGTCGAACAGTCCGGACTTGCGTTCCTAATCTTGTGTTTCATAGGATTTTTTGATGGGTGTAGGTTTCGAATATCAAGTCTTTTTAATCTCAACATTGTTCCATTAAATTTTCATATTTAAAGGGAGTTCCTATTACTTTTGGTCTCATTTCATTAATTATCTTGGATAGTTGATCTTGGATTTTGACTTTTAGTTTAAGAGGGATTAGTGTCATATTGTATCTGTTTTAGTTTAATTTGGGCCTTTTACTGTGCGACCTTTAATTTTTTTTTTTTAACTGCAAATACAGTCAACTCTCGATATACCGAAGTCGCCGTTCAAGACTAAAACTTCGGTATATAGTGATCTTCGGTATATCAAATTTTTTTATATACCGAAGTTTATATATTTTTTTAGAAAACTTCGTTATATTAAGATTAAAATCATGTGACTTTATTATGCCGTTACATATTTTACGTTTAACAAATTTTACAAATTACTTGTTGCTAACCCAATTATCTAACGATACTTATTGTTTGTGCTTTTTGTAAAAATAACCAATGTTACTTTTCATATATTTTAAAGCAGCTAAATGTTTAACTCCAAAGTAACGTTAATACTGAAAAATAAAAATGAGATCATTTGATCATATTAGATATGGTTTGATCTTCGGTATAACGAACTTTTTTTTATTATATACTATTATATACGGTAAAAATGAAAACTTCGGTATAATGTTATATAAAATTTTATAGTAAAATCGGTATATCAAAAGATTTTAATTATTAATGAAAATGGTTATATAAAAATCTTCGGTATATGGTGATCTTCGGTATATCGTGGCTTCGGTATATCGAGAGTATACTGTATATAATTTTATTATAAAAAGACAAAAATACATTATAAAATCATACATTAAAAATTTAATAGTATACAAATTAAAAATAATGTTAAATTAAAAACTAATATTACTAATAATCGAAGAAGAGTCATTATAACTAAATAATATAACTGGAGGAACATAATCTTTTATGACTTTATACCTAATAAAATGTTCATACTTAATAATTAGAGAAAAAAAGATAATTTAATGAATAAAACTAAATTAATAAAAAATTACCAAAATTCCCAAAAAGAAGTCTCAATTTTGGATCTATTGGACCAGTTGTGTTAGAACTACTAATATAACTTAGGTAATGGAGTTTTTATCATCTGATCCCGGTTTTAAAAGTTCTTGAGAATCCGAATAAGATTGATTGTATATTGAAGTGCTTTAAGGTTATACGGGTTATCAAGTTTCAGGAGTTCACCAATTTCTACACGTCTTGGTTTATTCGATAAGTCAGTCACATGATAATAAAAATTGTAAATCTGTACCACCTGTTCAAAGCCAATAACAAACGGTAAATCACCAAAAGCAAGTGTATTCCAAAAGCCAAAGTAACTACTTAATTCTTGCAATTTACTATGAACATCTTTCAAATCGCCCATCATTACAAGTATATTTTTATAATAAACTGTCCATCTGGCCGAACTCTCTTTTGTGAACCAATTCTAATCCATTAATTATTCTATAAATTGATTGTTGACAATATCAACTGTTTCTGCTTCCTGGTTAATCTTTTCCCTAAAGAAACTCATAGTGCAACCAACAACATTACATAAATCAGGAAGATAGTTAGCCTCTTTGTTATCAAGATAATCAGAATAATTAATAGAATAAAGGGGTACGAATTCTTAATGTATCAAGTAAACACCATCTATGTATTTATCCTATTTTATCATTTTATTCATTTACAGAGACATGTTCCGAAATTGCAGAAACTATAAAAGTCAAAGGGATCTACAACAAATTCAGTATACGCGTAGCGACGTAGCGTACCTGATTTTCTTGAGAATAAAAAAATAATTAAGAGTAATTCTTGATGGTATTTACTATTTTTCAATTTGTTATCTTTTTGCAAGTTTGCATTCCGATTTGAGTTTTATTCTTAATCTTATAGTGTACTATTCTATGAATAAAGCATATATTTTCACCTTTTTTAAAAATAATAAAGATTTCAGTAATTCTTTAGTTTTTGTAATTGTAATTGTCCATATTCTCACTAATTATTATTTGGTACATTCTATTGCGCACTTAAAGTTAATTTTTTTACGGCCCCTGTAACTTAATAATTATCCTTAAATTTCATTCTTCGTAACTAACTTATTCTAAAACAGATAATAAAAATAGAAAACGGTAAACATAAATATTGTTAATCAACCATGTCAAAGCGACTACATCCAGCAGCTTTCACAAATAAAAAATAATAGGGCATACAAAAGCTTAGTGAACTCATTACCATCCATGTAGCTAAACAGCACAGCAATGCGTAACGAGTCTTGAGCAAGACCATCTAATACTGAGAGGCGTGTCAGTCAAATGGGATGAAAATATGAAATCAAAAAGGCAATACTATAAAACAAATGCCCAATATAAATTCCAAGGCGCAATTTGAAGTGTGGAAGAATAACATTAAATTAGGAAAGTTAATGATATGATTAAACGATATCTTAAAAAGGAAAAAGGATGAATATCCTATATAGCGATTATGAAAGATATGGTGGAAAAAAATCTTGGTCATATTATATGGTTATTGGAGGAGGCGCAGAAGCTGGTGGAATTTACACAAGCTGGGGAGGAATTGAGGGAAATAAAAAGGGTAAGGTCAATGGGCGACCTTACTGGAAAGGTCTTAGCATAGAAACTTCATCATGTATCATGGGCTACATCCTGAACCTTTGTATTTATTTTTCGCAGGTATTAATAAAAATTTTTCCTTGGCAAAACCGTGACAAAATATCATAATCAAACTGTTGTCTGAAAAAAAGATTTACTAACCAAGTTCTTGCATTGCACCCGAGATGGACTAAATCGAAATTCAAGTGAGTAAGCATCAAACGTGTGACCCTCATATGTGCCATGTATCAGCAGCCAGCGCTTGAAAATGAGTGTTCAACTTCGTATGTAACAACGGAAAATACTTACCTTGAAATGATCAAGAAATTTGGCTATTTATATTACAATGTAAATAATAAATAATGTTTTTCGATTGATTAAAAGAACACTTTATTATTATGTCATATTACAAATAAATATAAACTTATATATAATATATTACAAGGATTAATCAATCTTTAAAACCCATTGCTCCACTGAATTCAGAACAGAGGACGTACGTTGACTGGCCGAAACATTAAATCATTCGGATCTTTATCATTAACTTCATCTTGATAATCATCTTTATCATTACATAGCGTTACATAATTTTGATATTTATAATCATCATAAATATCATCCGGAACAATGAAGAAAAGTCGGATTTTATTTCCGTTTTTGGAGGCTGGCATATTCTCAACTGACTTAACAAGCTCATTTTGTTTGATAAAGATATACAAAGTTTATCCAGCGTCACTATTACCCAGTGTACCCTACAAAAATGTTACGAAAAATCACGTGACTGTTTTTTGTCACATACGTCACACCTTCCTTGTTTCTATTTTTCATAAGTATCTGGGGGACACGAATTTTTGATCACTGTGAAATCCTATTTGTTACTCATTAATTGTTACATAGTTAATTTCTTAACTTCTTAATGCCAGCCGTTTCGTGACATTTTTTTCAGGCGCTGGGAAAATCCTATTAGATCTACAGCGCCAAAATTTTTGACGGTCGGACGGATGAAAATGTTTCTATAATTCCCATTATATTTTGACAGGTTTTCTGCTGTTCATGTATTTGTATTCTTTAAATTCCAAAATTGTGAGTTGTTGTTCTTTGTTCTGATAATAAACCAAAAAAAAAGAAAGGTTAATTTTCTCTTTATCAATATTGAAAATGATTGTATGGGACCTTACCTCAGTTCCTTGTAGACATTTTATTTCAAAATTACCACCATGCTTAAAAATGTTTAGCACATATGCCTCGAACATGATTCTTCTAGCGTTAGAAGGGTCTCGAATTCTCTGTAATAATAAGTCCCATTTATTCTGCTCCAGTTTACTCATAACTTTATCATAAATATAGCCAGACGCCCATTCAAGGACGTGTTTATCAAAATAGTAACTATCATAAGAAGGATGGTTAAATCAGAACTTGAGCTAGCTGACCATCGGTGAAAGATGCAGCTGCTAATTTTAATAAAGTTGGCTTAGCTGTTGAAGCATACTAAAAGTTGTTGAAAGTCAGAAATACTTAAAATAGCGTCTTCAATACGTCTTATAGATTTTCCCACAATCTCTTCTAATCTCATCAGATAATGTTTATGCAGGTCTCCTGGCATTTCAAGAACATATCACGGTACTCCACCCGTTTTATCAAAGAGCTTCATCATTAAATCTTCTGGAACATGTGAGAAGGTACATTCCCGACAAAATTTTAACTCATTTAGCGTCCAAATCCGGGAGTGGTAGAGTTCAATATTTACTGCGCCACCCGACACGATATTTTTTTACAACTAATAGTAAAGGTTATTAGATTAGGTTATTTAATTATACTCAGATTATATAGTTAAGTAAGTTATTTAGTATGTACTAATTCTAGTGTAACACTAACTTAGGGTTTTTTTTTGCGACCTTGATTTTTGTATGATTTCTAATTAGTTTTATTTTTTTTTTCTACTGTAAACAAATGTAACTATTTGTACGTGCTTTCGGTTATTGCCCTGATGGTTGTGGGACCAAAATTAACGATGATTCCGATTATGTTTTTTGTCCCCTCTGATTATGGTTCCTTAAGCAGGGGACGACAGGGACGTTCTTACCTATCATAAACCGAATTATACATACTTTTTCGCGACGAAACTTTTTATTTACGTATTGGATTTCGATATAATAATAAGCTTGAATTCATCAAATTCATATACAAATAAAGTATAATAATGGAAACTGTTTTCTCTAAAAGAAATTTTATCTCAGGCGTGAAAACAAAACTAAATAGGTAAATGTTACAGTTTAAGACGATTTTTGGATAATTTTAATAAATATCAAATGAACAAGAATTTTTCAAATAGTGATTTGATTAATAACGTTTATTTTGATATACATAAAAAATCACGTCATTATCGCATACTCGTGCACGCACCCTCTACGTATAAATCTTATTTTACATATTAATTATATATAACTATTATAATTAAAAGTTAATAATATACAAATTAAAAATAATGTTAAATTAAAACTAATATTACTAATAATTGAAAAAGAATCGTTCCCATCATCTTTGTAACTAGATAATATAACTGGAGGAACATAATCTTTTTTGACTTCATACCTAAAAAAATAAAAAAATGTTCATACTTAAAAAAAAAATCATAATTTAATGAAATAAAATAAAATTAATAAAAAATTACTTACCCCAGTATTTCAAAAAGAAGTCTTAATTTTGGACCTATTGGACCAGTGGTGTTAGCACTACCAGCTTTAGACATCATTTGACCAAGAGTAGATCTTGGAGGATATGTAAACATCATTAAGAAATCACTAGTACTCAAATAAGTTTGAAGATCTGCATGAGCGATACTTGAACCTTGAGCAAAAGGAACTATGCTAGTTTCTAATATAAAATCATCATCTTTAGTTAATCGAAAACTCATTGCACCTTGCGTAATGGCACTTTTATACACTTCTTGAGAAAATGGAAATTGCGGTGAAGCAATAAATGAGTTAATAAATTCAGTTTCCTGCATCTCCATATTAATCGGAAATTTATTTAACTCATCAGTTATAGATGTAAGTGGCTTTCCGCTTGGTAATAGAATTATGTATTTATCGAATATTGATTCTAAGAATTGTCCATTAGCAGCGACAGGAAATCCTTCGGGTGTAGATGTAGGTGTGGTAAATGAAGGTCCGATAAGAGGTATTAATGCCTCACCCACATTATTATTCCAAGCGGTCGAAAACCCTAATCCGTGTATCAATTCATGAACAACAACGTATAAAATGTCGACTCGTCTTTTTGGCATGGGTAACGGATCTCCTTCAAACCAATAACTTACATTTGAATTAAACATTGCCAAAATTTCATTTTTTTTAAATTGCGGATGTTCCGGTAAATTCATTTGTTTATATAATGCTTGTGGATATAATCTTACTTTATCATCTGTAGGACCTTGATATGGAAGTAATCTTGCTGGTCCCGCTGATCCTAATGTTGTTTTTCCCTTGTCACAATATCCATATGTCGTACAAAAATTTAAAAATTGTGCATCAACACTTACAACTGCTTTTAAATTTAATGTTGCTGTTATAAATTTACCTGCCGTAACAAATACTTTTTCAACTTTGTCACATAATACCGAATCGTCGATTAAACAACTAAAATCAACAGCAAACATATTGTCCAACGTTGGTTGTGTTTGTCTTTTATCATTAGATGATACCATTGGACAATCAACAATTTTGGTTTCACCATTTAATGGGCTTAAATAATCCAGACATTTTTCTGATAATGACATTGGTGTTAAACATGATAACCCTATTATAATGATAAAATAAATTAATAAAATCATTTTTTTTTTAAAAAAAAAAAAAAAAAAAAAAAANTAAAAAAAAAAAAAAAAAATAAGAAATTAAAAAAGGATGAATGGCTTTAAAAAAAATGAAGGATATATATATATATATTCATACACATCATACACATATATGCACTTTATATGTAAAATCAAACGTTACATTTATTGACTGCATCATATCAGATGTGATTAGATCCGGCATATTGTAACCTATCACAGTGTCACACCCCGGCGGGTGCGATTTTTTTATCAATTGTGCCCAAATATTATTATCACTACTAATTTCAATGAAATTCAAATCAACAAAATATTAGCGATCAAAATTCCATGCGATCAAAATTCCATTTAAAAAAGCATTCACTTCTATAGAATAATTAATTCCGAAGGATGAGGATAAAATAGAAAAATAATCTTTGCAAAGAATTTTATAGTAGCGGCAATGTGAAAAAAAAAAAAAGTTTTTAATAAAAAATTGGTTACTATTTATTTTGCTTCCAATTTGTTTAGAAACAAAATAATGTCAGCCTCGACATATATTTCGACAGAAGTTCAATTTTTGCAACCTTTAAAATGAAATGTGAATTTGTGCAACATGAAAGTTATTTACAAATACAGTATTTCGGTAATCCAAAATATAATAATGACAATTTTATCGATAAATTAAGATGGTTTGGTTTAGGACAATAGCGATTCAAAACACAAAAGGTTTTTATTTTAAAATGGGTATTATAACGATCAATATTATGAACGATTAATTTTCGAATCATCTGTTATCGTTATGAATTCACTCATCGAATATAAATTCATCAATTGCTAATTTTACAAGAGAAAATCATTATAACCTATATCAATGAATGTACGCAATAAATTACTATAAAGACTATAAAGACAAAGGAATATCTTAATATATATGATATTAACCTCAAATATACACAACCTAATTACCAATTATTTCTCAAATTAAATATGTCTAATATTTTGAATAAATACTATACGTAAAAGATAATAATATACAAATTATTGATAATAAAAAATTGAAATTAACGAGAGAAGAATCGTTCTTTTCAATATTATTAGTATCAGCAGATGGCTGAGGTTTAATTGTATTAGAAGGAATAGATGTTTTGGAAGCCTGGATCTCATTGTTAGATTGTAAGTTAGATAATTTAACTGGAGGAATATAATCTTTTTTAACTTCATAACTAAATGTCAAAAAATTAAAAATTAATAAATATTACCGTACCGTAATGTTATATACTTTAAAAGATTTTAGAACTTACCCTAAAGTTCCCAAAAGAAGCCTTAATTTAGGGCCAATTGGACCAGTAGTATTAGTGCTGCCTACATTAAACATCATTTGTCCAAGAGATATTTTTGGGTAACTATACATCATCAAAAAATCACTACTATCAAAATAAGTTTGAGCATCAACATGTGCAAGACTTGAACCACGTAGAAAAGGATTTAAACTAGTTTCTAATAAAATGACATCGTCTTGAGTTATTGGAGTATTAGGTTGTAAATTTGGTGTAATTAAAAAACCAATTGTACCATGCGTAACAGCATTTTTATATAAATTTTTTGCTATAGGAAATTGTGGTGATTTCAAAAATGAACTAATGAATTCATTATTAGTAATATCTAATTTAATCGGAAATTTATTTAATTCGTCTGCGATAGATGTAAGTGATTTTCCGCTCGGTAATAATACTAAATTTTTATCAAATCCAAATTCAAAAAATTGTCCTTTAGTATCAGTTGAAAAATACCCGGGAACAGGTGTTATTGCTTGTATATTAAAATAATCCCTCCATGCAGTTGTAAATCCTAAACCATGAATCAATTCATGAACTACAACATATAACATATCAGAATTGTCTTTTAATGTATATAATGGATCCCCTTCAAACCAAAAATTCGTATCTGAATTGAATGATGTTATAATATCACTTGGACCATATTGTGGATGTTCTGGTAATTCTAATTGTTTCAATAATGCTTGTGGATATAATCTTACTTTACCATCCGTATCTTGAATTGGAATCATCCTTGCTGGCCTTGTTGATCCTAATATCACTTTTTCTTGATCACAATCTCCATATGTTAAGCAATAATTTAAAAATTGGGCATCAACAGTTATAGCTGTTTTCAGGTTTAATGTTGCTGTTATAAATTTTCCTGCTGTAATTAATACATTTTCAACTTTACCACACGTTATCTTATCATTAGTTAAACATTTAAAATTTATAATAAACATTAAGTCATTCGACGTTGGAATTGATTGTCGTTTATCATTGGTTGATACCATTGGACAATCAATAACTTTAGTTTCATATCGATAAACTGGTCTTAAATATTCTAGACATTTTTGTGATAAAGTTAATTGTGTTAAACAAATTAATCCGATTAGGAAAATGAAAGAAATTTTTGATAAAATTTTCATTTTAAGATAACTTATAAACAAATTCGTAAATTAGGTTATTTTTATGCTTCAAAAAAATCGAGGGATATCCTTTTTATATAAAATTTAATTTAGCTTTATAAGTTTAATGTTTCCTTTTATATTTATTTATTTTTATAATAAAAAGGGTCTTCCCGGAGCGATCATCCCGATTGTCAGTATACGTTAAGGTAATACTTACCAAATAACTGATTAAAATCATCTGATCAACATTTGGTTATACTGTATGACGACAATACTTACACTAATTTTGTATTACGTATTACCAGGAATATTCTTTTGAATTTAGATACACGAACAATTATTGGTATTGTTAAGGGATGATCGTCTGCATTTAACAAATAGCCAAAAGTTTTTCCATAGAACAACTATTAGAACATTCGGTATTACTTCCATTTTGGCCTGAATTAGAAATATATCGCGATAAATTTTTGTATATTTTTAAAAAAAAATTCGTAATAATAATAATATATGGAATTCAATGCGTAGTATATTATAATTGCTGTAAGTTTCCATATATATTCTAAAGGATTTTTTAAAAAAAAGGAGTAAGAAAAATTTCCTTCACTTTTATATGTCGAAATTTTTTGCACAAAATAATAATAATTGACTACTACATAAACTCCCGTCGCTCATATGGCGAGTATTTGGGAGCATTAATCTTTTTTGTGTTCCAAACATCTACGCCCATGATCTTCAGTAATAATTTCATAAAAATTATGTCACACTGTAATTTTTTTACTAGTATGACTGAAATCAAAAAATAAATTTATCAAAATCTTATTTAGTCTTAGTTTCTAATTATATTTAAGAATTTTTATGGTAAAATAAATGTATCTAGATGCATGTTATCATGAATCGAAATCAAGGATCGTCAAATGCGATTTTCAGCATTCAAAATTATTTCATGCGATTGGATTTCTTTATGTGTTACTCACTTGATCATTTGAATAGTAAATTATTTCGGGAGATACAAGTTCATTTTTAAGAGCTTCGAAGTTTGTCTGGTTCTTTCTCAAGTGATTTTCAATAACGACTTTTTAAAAGAACGAACGAAATTTATGTAGTTGTTGTCGCTTAACTTGATTTGATGTTTTGAAAATTTAAACAGACACGAGGATAAATTGATTTAAAAATTGGTGAAATATTCAATTGGTACCTATTTTATTTTTAACTAAATTTAATAAGTTTTGAGACCATTCTGAGTAGACGAAAAAGTTACGCGGTATAGTCGATATACGTTCCAATAATAATAATTTATTTATACCTTAGTCTATAAAAGTCTAAAGGTATCGAAAACAGCAAAATAACTCTAATTTACATTGCATGAGATGCATGCTGATGTTCAAAATATAAATAAAAAAAAACGTGTGTTGAGACGATCGTACTACACAGTTAATTTTTTTTTATAGCTAGAAACAAATATTTTATAAAAGTTAAATAAAAAAAAAAAGAGAGAAAGATCTAAAAATAATAACCTGTTCGTACCAGGATAATGACTGGTTAATTAATCGGTTAGTTCCATTATCGAATTATACTGCATCGTAATTTTCCTTAGCCAAATGTGAATTTTAAAACTTTTTTATCACTAATAAAAATTTCGTAAATGATAGTCATTGCAAATTTTCATATACTAACTTTTATATATAAGTTTACTATAAAAATGATTTCGTGCTGAGACCCTGACTCCCTCCTTACGCTGATCCCCCCTAATTATTTCCCAACATTTTCCCTTACGTAAATTCCTAACCCTTACCCAGTTCTTTTCCTGGTTTCCTCCCTTATGTTATATTTTACCCTAATCTCTCAACTTGTGGTGACGGTATGATGATGCGACGCGTGATATGGTGGTTGTGGAGCGGTGATGAATGTGGTATAATTTTACGTGCGAGTTAGAGATAGTTTTGCGATCCGTTGATCCGCCAATCCGCCAATCCGCGTATTTATCCGATTCCGGATTGGATCCGGATGAAGATACGAATGATTCACATCTGCTATTTTTCAATATAAATCCGGATTCATCCGTTTGATTAGTATTGTTTTATAGTAACGGATCCATTCGGATAGTTATCCGGATCATCCGTTATTTACGGATCGGTCATCCGGATTTTATATTGAAATTCATTCGGATGGTCATCCGGATCATCCATTTATTTACCGGATTAAACGGATGACGAATCCATCCGGATCGTAACATTAGTTAAAGAATAGGCTCTTACTTTTAGTAAGCTCGTAGTTATATTTGACATTCAAGTTAATATAGGATAGGATACGAGATTGAAAAGTTTTTATGATTAAAAAAATTAATTTTAAATCAAAATTATAAATGAATTTAATGAAATACTTTAAATATTAGATGATAGGATTTTGTAATACTGTAGTTTAGAGCCGTACGATAGGAGTCATAGGGTGGTACGGCATGATGCTATGAGCAATTTTATAGGTAATCATGGTTCACTTTTAAAGAAGTTCCTTATGGACCTTACGGAGGCGCAAAATAAACCATTCTGTTGGTGAAACGCGTTCAACCAAAAAAATCCATGGATTAAAAGGTCGGATATTTCATGTGTTACACAAAAAATCAAACGAATCAATAAATAAAACTCGACTGAAAAATGCAACTGACCAGAATTTAACAGGGCTAGTGCTTCAATAAGGAAAACACAAGTTAACTTTTGGCTAACAGTATTAGTGATAGAAGCAAATTATCTGTAGAATTTTTCCATAAATATGAGCAAATAATTAACATGACCTAGGGACTCGCGTTTAATGGCCTAGGATCCAGTTACTCTCTTCCTTGAAGCATGTCATATATTTCTTTTTATTTCGTTTATTTCTCTTAAAACATTTTACAAAATAATAAAGTTTCACCATATTGAGCACAAAAAAATAATAATAAGATTTGCACTTTATTTTGTTAATTTAGTTTTCAGATAGTTTAATCAATTTCCATTTGTTCAAAGAGATAATTCGTAAATACCCATCCCGTTTAGAAACTGCTGACATAAAATAAGAAAATTTTTATGCATGTCGTTATTACCCCTAAAAAATGTTATTTTGATTGTTCCGGCTGTCCTGCTCTTCTCGTTCTTTTTCTAGTTCTTTTACCCATCCATCCAGCCGAATGAGTTCTAAAAAATCTGAGATATTATATCCAAGCAAATCTTCTTCATCACCTAACAATCAAACAGATCTGATGCTCTAAATGGTTTACTCCTTTTTCTATTATTTCAAATGTATTCTTTAGAGTACTTTCTAGTTTTCCAATTTTTCTAAACATATATTTTTCAAGACTGCACTTGTGCTGAATAGATATGTTTAGTAAGGTAGATATATCAACTGGACGGATTCAAAGTTTTTGGCACAAATAATATATGGAGACCAGGGGGTATATCTTACGCGAAATCTCCCGTGGCGCGTGGCTGATCGATCACGAGATAAACAAAAATATGATTGGCTATATAATCAGTTTTACCTGTTTATCTACTATAAACTTAACGAAAATTTTGTTTTTTCTCATGTATATACATAGTTATTTTTAATTGTTCTATTACGTTTTGCTTTTATTGCTAAATAAGTTAAAAGTATCGTTCATAATTTATAAATTCAATTTTATTCTTTATTAGTATTGTTTGTTTCATGATCACTACGAATATTATTTTCATTGCTTCCAAATCAATTATTTATTTAGTTCGAATATGCAAGTTTAAAAATATTTGATATTTAATTCCAAGTCTTTGCCATGACTGAGTCCAAATGCTATTTTATTAAGACAAAGACCAAACTAAAACTATAGCTGTAGATGTTCCCGCTACAACCACCAAATGCCCTTCAACTACCATCACATCTCCTCCCACAACCGAAACTATAACCACAACTGCAACTTTAACTATTACTACTACTGCATAATGTCTTCCTTCCGGTTCACCTTGTAATCTTAATAATTCTGGAGCTTGTTGTAGTCAAATTTGTATCAGAAGTTCAGAGTGCGCATAATAATCATTATTTCTAAATCCTTCACGTGCCACATTAATGCAATTTTAACGTGTAGTATTACGATATTTATGATAGTGAGACCAATTATTTAATTTCTAAATTTTTTAATAATTAATAAAATTAAAATGGAATAAAATTCGCGTCATCCTCAAATAAATTAATCATTTTATAAAATTGAACACACCGAACACACAATATAAAAAAATGGCAGATCATGCTCAAATAAAACTATCTATTTACGTAAATAAATACGCAAATAAACCAATATGGTCAAATAAATCAGCATGATCATTCACATGTACAGTACTTGTATTTGCTCGTACGTATCCGTTTGTGTTCAGTGTATTCAATGTTCGGTATAAGTAACAATTTTTTTTCAAATTTCATGGTTGTCGTGTTCGTCGTACAATGATAGATTGCCAATATTTTTGAAAATGGCAATAAAATCTAAATAATGCGCAAGAATTTTCAATAAACTAGTAAATAAGTATAACACTCCAAGCTTTAATTAAAGTGATTCTAATAATAAATAATAATTAATATTATTAATAAAGAGTCAAGAAAGTCACAAATAGTTTTTCACACCTTCTCAGATTTTAAATTATAGGATTTTATTATTACTTACCTTAAAAATATATCCTGTGAATAAGAAGGCCAAATTATATGATGAAATTCTTTTTATTATATAAAAGCAAAAGAAAAATTGAAACCATGCACGAATTATTTATTTATTTTATATCATCGTAGAAAAATCCTAAAATATTTTACAATAAACCTTCTTTTCTGAAATCTTTGAAGATTATAAAGTTCACCATGTTGAAAATATAGCGCAAATTTATTAAAAATGTCTTTTTTAAAGTACCAAATTGTATAATATATTTTAACGCAATGCGTCATCTTGACATATCACATGTGTCAATACAAAAATTATCTTACATAATAGTTGATTGTGCATGATTGCGACATACAATAGTTTTATGTTTGATTGTTTGAAATACTATCTTGAAACATAACGCACATATTGTATGTTACGTATTACTATCGGCTTTTTTGCTAAAGTTTGCACAAAACGGTTATGCAGATCTTTCCCTTTTAGATAATGCATGATTGAACGCAGCGCTGGCCCCGAAAAAAAAAAATGCGTAGAGCTAATTGTAAAAATAATATGTATCTTTTAAAATGGCGTTATATACCTCTGTGATAGAGTTTTACTTCAATTGACAATAAAATAATGTGCAGACATAAAATAAATTGATAATACGTCACACGACGTGTTGATTAAATAATTTTACAGTAAACCAGATCAATATGAAACATTATGGTGCATTATTTATAATTACATGCATGTTAAAGAATACCATCTTTCACCTTAATATATAAAATAATTAACTAATAATATACAAATAAAAGTTAATACTAAATTGAAACTAACAAAAGAAGAATTGTTCTTTTTATCATTATTATTTTCATTATTATTAGAAGTATCAGTCGAATTAATCGTTGCAGTATTTGATGCATTAAATATAATCGGTGAAGTGTAACTACTTTTAACTTCATACCTAAAAATAATAATAATAATAATAAATAAGAGAATGTATTATCTTTTAAAAGTTTAAAATAAGATATTAAAAAATTTACCCTAAAATTCCCAAGAGAGTTCTTAATTTAGGACCGATGGGACCATATGTATTAGTACTATTTGATCTATCCATCATTTCAGCAAGAGTTTTTCCGTGAGGATACGTAAATAACATTAAAAAATCACTACTATTTATATAAGTATCAAAATCTACGTGTCCAATACTTGAACTAGATACAAAAGGATTCAAACTGGTCTCCACAATCAAAACATTATCTCGAATTTGATCCGCAGTTAATGTAGTATTAGGTTGAACATCAGGTGTAAGTAAAAACCCAATTTCACCATGTGTAGTACCAAGTGTGTACATATTCTTGGCTATTTGAAATTGTGGTGATTTTATGAATGAGTTAATTATTAAATCATTAGGTAAATTTAAATCGAATTTAAAAGTATTTAATTGATCAGTTATTGATGAAAGTGATTGTCCACTCTTCAATAACACTAAATTTCTATCAAATTTAAATTCTAAGAATTGGACTATAACGTTTGAAGGTACTGGTGATCCTGGTGATCCTGGTGGGGTACCTGGTGATGTTCCTGGTACTCCTGGAATCCCTGGAGTTCCTGGAGCTCCTGCTGGTGTTCCCGGTGCTCCTGGTGTTCCTGCTGGTGTTCCCGGTGCTCCTGGTGTTCCTGCTGGTGCTCCCGGTGCTCCCGGTGTTCCTGGTGTTCCTGTATCGACTTCCATAATTTTATCAATATAAGGATGTAATGCTTGTAAATTAAAATAATCATTCCATGAATTTATAAAACCTAATCCATGAATAAGTTCATGAAGAACGACATATAACATGTCAGCTTGTCTGAATCCCATAGGTAATGGATCACCTTCAAACCAATAACTCATATTTGCATTAAAAATTGCTTCAATTTCATTTGGTCCAAATTGCGGATGATCTGGTAAATTCATTTGTTTATATAATGCTTGTGGATATAATCTAACTTTACCCTCTGTATCATTTAGAAATGGGATCATTCTTGCCGGGCCTGCTGCTCCTAATATTATTGCATTCGTGTCACAATCATTAAAACTTGCACAAAAATCTACAAACTGTGCTTTTACACTCACGGCAGATTTTAAGTCTAATGTTGCTGTTATAAATTTTCCTGCAGTAATAAATACATCCTTAACTTTATCACATAATGTTGCATTATTAATTGAACAATCAAAATCTACGACAAACATATTATCTGGTGATGTCTGTGTTTGTCTTTTATCATTAGCTGTCACCAATGGACAATCAACAACTTGAGTTTTATATTTGTATAATGGTTTTTTGAATTCAAGACATTTGTGTGATAACGTTTGCGTTAAACATATTAATCCTATTAGGATGATGAAATTAATCGTTGATAAAATCTTCATTTTAAATTAATAAAAAGGTAAATTTAATTATAATTTGATTAAAAAGAAAAGGAAAAAGAAAAAAAAAAAGAAAGAAAAAAAACTTCTTTATTAGTTGAACAATAATTTCCTCCACTTTATATAATTTATACATTCATTAAAATATTTCCTTTTTATTGTAGCTGGGTAACACTGATTAATTAGTGCGATCAACAAAATCTTATTATGCCAAGCAAGCCGTGTTACCTTCCCGTAACAATTGTTATATGGTCATTAAAATAACTAGTTTGTTATTAAAAAAATTATTATCAATGGGGATATTAATGATGCCTAACATTATTTTTTTTCCCCTTTTAGTAATGTAAGGCTGCAGGAGTTGCATCCAAAGAAGAAACAAACAAAAAAAATAAAAATAAAAAATAAAAAAAAGTAAAAAGTGAAATCACATTATTTGCCTATTTCATTAACGGAATTTTTAATTAACATCTTTATTTATTATAAATCATGAAACATAATAGTAAACTCATTTACAATATACTGTATATAAATCACTTTGTCGATCAATGAACTACATGAGTACATGTACAAGTATTACTTGTACAGATTACTTGTACAGGGTTTCGTATCGGATATATCGGAAATATTTTCTCAGCCCATCTAAAATATAACGACTTTGAACATCATATAATCTTTAATAAAAATGCTTAGAAGTTTCTTTGAAATATTAAGAAATTCTTATTGCCATTATTACAATAATGTTTATTTGCATCACATGAAAGGTACAGTAAACAAGTGCCAAGGAAATTGTCATTGTAACAATAGTTTGTATACAGAAAATACTAGAACTTGATTGTCGGGTTTAATTTATACCCGAAAACTAAATTTGATGATCAATTTTCGTTGAATCCATAATTTTGAAAATGGTCAATCACTGATGCGCAAATATTTCTGGATTATTGTAAGCACTTGAAAGAACCTATAATAGTATTTTTTTTTACTAATCATTAAATGTGGGTTACTACGTCAGATTGATTACGCCTAATGATGCTCATTCCTAATTCAACTTTCACGATAAATTGTGTTACTTTAACTCCTTTTAATAGTAAAATCGGCAAGGGACGCTTTAAACGTAGCTAAAAAAAAGGGATAAAAATTTACATATACTCCCTATTATTAAAGGAGTCAATAATTGGGAGTTACTATAAAAAAATCGAAATTAATGAAACCGATATCGATGAACTGAAAGCTAATATAATATTGATAAAGATAACGGTAAATCTATTGTAAATGGAAATCGTTTTATTCTTGATGCATTCGATTGATTATAATCGGAATTTGCTGTTAAAGTAGCGTATATAGAATAATAATGCAGATTCAATGTAATTGATATTTTATTTATTTATTTGGCAAATAACTAGATGGAAATGTTTTGTAAGATCGGGTTTGAAAATTGATATGAAATTATTGAAAATTGGCATTTTGACAATAATTGTGAAATTAAATGGAAATTTTATGTCACTAATCATACTAAAGTAATTAAGTAAATTGCTAGTTTAACGTTATTAAATAAATGGGATTAATTTGCGCAAGAGTATAGATCACTTTCGTCCATCTTTTCCAAAAATTCTTTTATATTTGGAACTGAAAGTTGTAATTGTGATAATTAGAAATAAGTGCTAAAAATTCCTTGGAAAACACACAATATATTAGAAGAGGCAACAAAGATTGCGATGATATCAGTGTGACTGATGAATGTGAATTTTTTTGTTGCATGTTCCCTATAAAAATTAGATGCGTTTTCTATACTGAAAAATACTTAATAGTAGTTATTCGGCACGAAGTGCCGAATAACTATTATTTGGGTAAATCAAATTTGATTGGTTGATCCGGAGCCCGAGATCAACTGATCAAATTTGATTCCCAATATAACAAGCTACCTTTAGGTAGCGTTAGTTATTCGGCTCGAAGTGCCAATAAGTGATTTATTCTTTGAATATCCGATTTTACAGTAATGCCTGATACACGATTTATTATCACCACTTTTAATTATAAAAATCACGTGATACCGTATAAGTTTGTATACTGAGAGGTACGGGAAAATGATAATTCTGTATCTCATATAATACGGATCCTGAGCAATACACAAAAATTGTAGAACATTCATTTTTTTTAAAAATTATAGCGGCATTACGTAATACTGACTCGGAAGAGATGTGTAGAGCTAATAGTAAACGGGTGTTTATATATATTGCTCGGATCCTCAAAAACTGTTTCTGTTCGTCTTATTCATATCAAGCAATATAACTTAAAAGTATAATTAATACTAATCTATCTTTTAAATTATTGCTATTCTTTGCTATAATAAAATATTTCTTTTGTTCTTTTTTGATCGAATTTTCTACATGAAAACAAATAAAAACAACCAATAACATAACTTTCTTTATTACAATAAATTATAATTAGAATTAAGTAACGATCATTTTTTCAAAATATAGGGCCTATGAAAAATACTTTGTGAGGTTTTGTAACTAACATTGGAAAAAGAAATCTAAAACAATAAATCGATCATAATTTCTTGTATGAATAATGCGATCTGTCATTCGGAGTTTTACCTGTAAACTGTAAAGGAATCGTCAAAATAACAAGAGTCTAAAATCATTTTCCTTTATCTACCAAATTATTAGGAATACGAATGTATAATATCAGATGTTTAATAACAAATTTTAGTCAATATATAAACTAAGGCGTTAAAATAGGTACTGCGTCACATTTTTGGTAGTGAACGGAAACAAATAATTGAACGTTGAAATTTTAATGAATGAAATTTTTATTTTTATAGTACAAATAGCACAAATACTTAAATGATTAAGTTAGAAGCTATAAATGGGAATCAATATTGTGCTGAAACTCCTCCTTCAACTCTATCTTCGATGAAAGATATCGAAGAGGATGACGAAATAAAGGAAAATAAATTTTAATTTCATTAATTATTGTATCATATCCTAATTCCTCATTTTTTCTAATTAATCTGGAAAACTTGTAGTTTTTCGGTGGAAATTCCTAGTTATTTGTTACCCATGACTTAATTCAATCAGAACTTTGGGTTTAAGTTAGTAGCGGATCCAAAGAATACCGAGCGTAAATAAATCGAAGCATGTCGATTTTAAACTAACTAAAATTAAGGTAGGACCTAAAAAGAAGTCAATAAAAATCAATTAACTTTTAATTATTGTGATTAATTGAAAAAAATTGATCCGATCAGCTGCGGAAAAGTACAAACCCTTTTTAATCCAACCTGGTTATCCGTAAAAAAAATAAATACTTATAAAATAAATTAAATATCAATAATTATAACAAATAAACAAGCGTCAACTTACTGAATAATCCGCAACACGTCAAATCATTTTGAATTCAAAGGTGAAAACGATTCATCTGTTTTAAAGAAATAGACTTGAATAAAACATTTACTTTTATAAATTTTTTTTATCTTATTTTAAAATTGATCAACAATTATGAAAAAAATCCGGTTCGAAACTAGATTCTAAAAATCAAATAAAAAAAAATATTATAATTACTTTAATTACTTAATTAATAAATAATGAAATAATATATTAAATTAATTAATATTATATTTTATCTAATTAACTATTTATTTCTTTAAAAAAAAAAAAAAATGAAATGACAACTTCACAACATCGTGCCGATCATTTTGAATCCATGTACAAGTCAACTGCAAAGGATCTGCAGAAAATGGGAATCTTGCGTGGCAAATACAAGTAAAAATTATGTGAAAAATTATTGTAATTCGTAACGTTAACCAATATAAATCACCGTACAGTACATATCACTATCGATATTCGATATTGTACGCAAATAAACTATTTATTATGTTCTACTCACAGGTTCGTTAAAGTATCACGCAAATGGAAAATCATAATGTATTTTAAGGATCAGCAAACAACGGAAAGGGCAGTGGAAGAATCGATCAAACAAGGTGTGATGGATAAGCTAGGAACGCTAAAGAGATATATAGAGCGGAAAAAGTGGAGAAAAAGATAAAGTAAAAATGTTAGTAGAACGAACTGGGAGTTGAAGAGTCTTATCTAAATGTGCCGCCGCAAAGAACTTATTTAGAATTAAGTGGCATTAGTATGTATCAACATAAAAGTTTCAGATGGCGGCGACGCTGCACCATTGACAAGTAAAGTTGAATTGGCGGAAGATACAGTTGTGAACGTCATTAACAAGCATAGAATGGGATTGAAGAAGAAGTTGCGGAAGTTAGTTGCTGTAACGAGTAAGAAATTACAAAAAGACAATGTTACTACGGATGAGGTTATTGACAATTTTCATGAAAATCCTATTAAGCCGTATAAGGTTATTTCATTTCTATTTTCAATGCAAAATTTACAGTCAAACCTTTATATAACGATGTCGGGACATATATGAAATTTTTAGAAAATATCGTTATATCAAAGTTATACCGATATTTATATGTCCTCATATATAGCGGGAAAATAAAATTTTATCGGTATATCAAGTTTTTAATAGTATATCGGTATGTCGAATATCGGTATATCGAGGTTAGACTGTACTTTGAATAACGAATTAGAATACATCTTTAGAAAACCTACATAATTAATTCAAAATATCCATCTTATAAGTATCATAATAATCACTGTTAATATTTACATTTATCAAGGCAAAATCGTACTCTCGGACAATTAGCAAAAATATTTTCAAATAATTTATCGCAAGCACAAATTTTATGAATTAAGATTTATTAAAGATACTATGTAAAAATTTTACATTTTGAAAATAAGCAAGACTAGATTATTTCGAAATTGTTAATGTATATTAGAAAATTCGACTCGACTCAGGTGGCAAAAGAATAAAGAAAAAGCCACCAAAACATTGTCAGAATTGTAAGGAAACGAACGATTGCGTTAAATTATTTTTAAATAAAATAAATAGATTAGAAGAAATCGTTGACAATTTTCGTAAAAATCTTCCTAAGAAGACCAATAAAATTTCTATATTCTGTGCAAAATTCACTTTGAATAGCGTTCATTGTGAATTAGAATACGAT